ACCAGAAAGAGTTTTTCTGGGTGCATGGTGCATGTAATTTTACAAAGCACATCATGGAAAATTTTCACACATATGGTCTATGTGGGTCTAATAAGCGCGATTGTGTGACACGGTTTCGACATCGACCTGATTGCAACAGAGCCGTAATAACAATATTGCAAACCGCCTTTCATTATTTTTCTCTTCCAACGTGACACAATCACCGTCACACACTTTTACTTGCACCGACTACAACGTAGGCGGAGTAGTGGGCGGACCAATTACTACACGACGCCTGCAAAAGTTTTTTTTCTCTTCTTCTTGCGTGCGCGCGAGCGAGAGTGCGGCGTGGCGTGGCGTGGCGTGGCGGCGAAGTCACGGGGAAGCAAAGGGGTGAGGAACAGAGAGGAGGAGGAGGAGGGGGGCGCAGCAGGCGAAACTGCATCAGCGATGCTCCCACCGAACCACGTGACGTGACGACACTTCACACGCGCCAAAGCAAAGAGGAGGCGTCTTACTTTTTATTTTTTTGGAAGAGCAGCAGTGCGATATGGAGATTTCGCCGCTCGCACCGCGTGAGCCACACGCCTTACACGAACAAGCGTCGCGTGCCAGTCGTGTCGTGTGGCACTACGCACAAGAAAAAATATTAAGGAGTTAAAGAGAAAAGAATTGGCACCAAAGTATACTTTACTGAAAGCATACTTTACTGAAATACATAGAACTAAATTAGTAACCAAATTTCCAACCGTCTGCGCGAATGGCATTGTGCTAACAGTATTGCAGCGGCGCGCCACACCGCCGTGTTGTCATTGTTATGGTGCACACAGTCCACAACCACTCTCACACCCGGCCGGCCTCTGCTGCCCGTAGTTTTCACCCGTCGATGTGAATGTCTAGTTACAGACGCTGCTGCTGGTGCTACTGGTGCAGCTGCCGCCGCCCGGCGCTCACCTTTCTCCCGCAGACCGCTCTCCACGCCGCGCCCCACGGCCGCGCGCGCGCGCTCTGCCCGCTCTGCCCCCGGCGCCCTTGCCCGCGCCGCCGCGCCGCCGCGCGCCCAAGGCCCAAGGGCGCTCGCACCGCGGCGCGGCGGCCGGGCCGGGTCGGCGGCGGTGGCCAGCCAGGCGCGTCCAGTTCAGCCGCTGCCCAGTCCAGCTGGATTTTTGTATCCGTTATAAAAGTCTGTATCGTTTTTGATACAAAAAATTGTATTATAGGATATGTAAATTACTGCGTAACAATTTACAGAATGCTATACTGATTTTTTTTAGAGTGAGCCCGCCGCCGCCCTGCTCTGCTGTTGCCGGGACTTTCCCACAGCCGCCGCCCCGAGCCTCGCGCCCGGCGCCGTCCTAGACCAGGGCCCACTTCTAGGAGGGGCCCGCCCCCTGACGTGAGCCCCGAGGCCGGCCGACGCCTGAAGGCGCCTGAAGGAGCACAAGCCAGTCCGTCACGCGAGCAGGCGTCCCGGGGGAGCCAGTCGGGCGGGGGTGGGGTGGTGTGACTCCTCCGTCCTCGCACGACATCCAACCAAAACAAACCCGGCGCTGCTCTGCTGCCGACAT